CTCCACGGGCCCCCTAGCCCGAGCAGCGCCTGGGGCCACCTTTTCCCCCATCCCCCACTGCCTATCTCCAGCCCGGAGAAGGACCTACCCGGGGGTTCCCAGGCGCGGGACGAAAAGCCACCGCATCCCCAACTCCTCACTACCCCCCGACCCCCTCCCGCGCGCCGTCGGCTTGGGCAGTGCGGCCTGCGGCGCTCCGGACAAGATTTGCCACGTCCGGGAGCCAGAGAACCCCTCTGAGGTACGGACGCATAATAAATACCGTGTGGAATGTATTTACTCTGCTGCCCCTAGTTAATTTTCATACCCGCACAGCGCCGGCCTGTGGTTCCTATTTACGGGCGCGAGGCGCCATCCCTTGAGAGGGACTCCCCGCCCCCCCTTTTTTTTTAGAGCTTTAGGATGGATGCAATGTGTCATTAAACCTGAAAAGGGTTGTTACTTATCAGTAATGGTGTTCTCCACAGGCCTTTCTCCTCACCTGCGTGGACACAGGTACCACCTGGATGGTGGATGGGGGCCTGGGGTGCCCGAAAACACCTGGGGTGGGGGTAGTTCGGTAAGCTCTACGTGGGCCCAGCAGGAGGCAGCTGAGGCATCTCTGGAACCCCCAAACCACCGGAACGCGGACTCCGAGGACCACCCCCTCCACCACCCGGAGGCTTGCGGCTTTTGCCAGGCACCCCTCTGCACCCCGGGGAGGATTCTTCCTCCAGAGAAGCCTAGAACAGGAAGGCTTAGGGAACCCTTAAGGAAAGTTCCTCCTCCTTAAGCGGCCCCCTCCTTAGCGGCGGGAAATGCAGTCTCTCCGTTGTGCCATTCTGGGCGCAGAAAGGCCCTGTGTTACTCAGCTCTGAAGCAACAGCCTTATCTGGGATGATTTCCCATCTGCATCTCTGCGAAGCAGGGTCTTCCTGCACAGGACTTATCTTGTTGGGAAGCAAAGCTGTGTGCTGGAGGCAGGCCCAGGGAATGGAATGCTCTCTAGGCCTTGTGTGTTCTTAATGACCCATAACAGAGTCTTCAGAGGTGAAAAACAAAACCCTTCAGCCCCTTAACCCTTTCATGCCCATCCTGGCTTGTGAGAATTCTTAATCTGGCTGTGGTGTCACACAGATTCCTCTCTTGATTTCATCCAGGAGCTGCCAGATTCACCTCAGCCCCGCCATGCCAAAACTTGAGTCCGGCGTCCCATCCCTGGGTGGGTAGGTGGCGTTATCTCCTGGCAGCCCTGCAAGGACTTGGAGTAGAGCACTAAAATGTCCTGAAACTGTGGGCAAAATTTTGAGCATGCATGCATTTTTCTAACGGGGGAGGTTCTTGAAGGGATCTGAGATAGCTACAAAAGTTTAAGAACCACCTACCAGCCATTTCACCTTTTCCAGGTCTTATCCCTGAGCCCAACTTCATTATCAGGAAGAATCGGGCTACCCCAAAGAGGTTGTGATTAAAACAATGAGATAATACTTTAATATTTGTAAACTGTACAAGGTTCTACAAAGATAAATTATTAATGATGCCAAAGATGGCTTTGTGTGTGTGTGTGTGTGTGTGTGTGTGTGTGGGAGGGGGGGTGACACATACGCACACATGCGTATTTGTGAATTGGTGATACAGGGGAAGTGTGTGTGGGGATCACTGGTATTTTACTCTTCATTCTTAGGAAACTTCTGTTCTGAACCCCCTCATTTCTCTACCTTGGGGCCAAGTGGGATTGATCTGGAATGTTGCCCCTCCTCTTTGAAAATCAAAAGCCTCCTTGGGCGGTGGGTGGTGGCTCAGGGGTATGGGCAGCAGGTTTTCCTGCTCAAACTCCTCTGGTCCTCTGGAGACTCATGGCCTCCCTTGGAACATAGTAGTCATTTGCACAAAATGGGTGCTCAGTACACCTTTGTGCAACAATCAAATCAATGACTGGGTATTAAGTGGTCTTCGGCCACCTCCACCTCCCTTCTATACTTGCAAATGAAAGAGGGCTCTGGACCCTTTCCAACTTAAACGCGTTTATTAATAGGTGTGGAAGCCCCTCAGTCTTGAGGAGCTCAAAGATTAAAATAACCAGATTCTAGGATGTTCAGCATCCCCATAAAGATAGGGATGAATGAGGTGAGAGTTAATTCTCTTCATCCACACACTAAGAAACTGCTCCCAGCTCCTGTAGCTTCCCTTCAGGATCTTCCCTTCAGGATCTGGATGGTTCCTGCTAAGGCCACACTTTCCTCAGACTGCTCCACAATGACAGCACGATGGGGACACCAGGGCTGGGCCATTCTGCCTGATATGGGACTTCTCAGATGGTCAGTCTTTGCTCTGGGCTCCCCATCAACCTGGCTAAGACTTTCTCAGAGCTGTGCTACATCTGAGGGTCTTCCTACCCCACCCTTGTCCTCCCTTCCCTCTCCTTTCTCCTTGGTCAGACTTGCATCACCCTCTCAAGGCTCTCCCTGCCTATTCCTGCTTCCTCCCTGCTTGACCCTTCACAGATATTTTCCCCAGTATATCTCTTGAACTTTTAATTACATCTTGGTGTCTGCTTCTGGGAGGACCTGAACAGCTACAGGGACCAATACTCAGACTCCCACGCTCTCCATCATTTTAGGTAGGACCCTTGTGTGTGCAGGGCCATGTAGAGTCAAGGTTGGAGCTAGAATCTCTTGGTCACTCCTTTGCCTCCAGAAGGTTCTAGGCATCAGACACCTTCTGTGCCCCTGTAGGGCAGGGTGGCCAGCTGCCACACTCTGATGGTCATGCTGCTTGTGACTTGCATTTATTTTTCCAGTTGTTCCTGGGTTTGGTCAGGCTTATCTCTGGCTAAGGCTTCTGCTGTCCAAAAGCCTGACTGTACCTACTAGCTTGCCTGGCTGCTCTTGGAAAGTCAGTCCCAAGGCCAGATTGCTTTCTGAGATCCACAACTCTTTTCAAATGTCCAATCTCAACACAAATCTGAGAGCCAACCCTGGAAATCGACACTGAATCAAAGGCTCCCCAGACTTCTCTGCCTGTGGCCAGGGTAAGCTAGGAGGCTGTGAAGTTCTGCTCTGTTAGAGACATGGACTGAAGTCAGATTAAAAGAGGGGGAATCAAGGAGAGAAAGCATCAGCAGAAGACAAAGGAACTGCTGGCAGGAAAGGCAGCCACCAGCCCAAAGACAGATGAAATGGAGGGTTGTTTTTTTAAAGGTGGGGGGCAGAGGTCATTAGCTTGGAGAATGTGTCATATTTGATGTAAGGAAGGTGGTAATTTGAGGTTGGAAAGCAAAGCCTCATCCACACTCTGGCCTGGGAGATGCAATCTGCAGATATTCTCTGCTGGGGAGAAAGGACAGACCCACAAGTAGGAGGAGAGTGGCCAGGAGAGATGATGCCTTCCCGGCTGTTTGAACACCACCTCTGTCCATCCCTCGACCTTTCTAAAGAGGATACATCTGTGAGCTCTCACTTCTCCCCATCACTGGCAGCTCTGAGGGCTCATGGGACTGAGGCCAGCACCCAGTGGCCCGGGCTGGAGAGCTTCAGCGACAGCCAGTGCCACCCCTATAGGCTAATTATTCTTTTCCAGAGCCAACCTTTCATTGGTGGCTCTAGGCTGTAGCCCCATGGCCAAAGGTTTATGGGACAGTGCCTTTGGTCATAAAGGGGTCAGGGGGTAACTACAAACCCTCTTCAGTTCCTGGGAAAGTGGCCAGAAGCACACATTACCTCTGAGAGTTTTGTCATCAGGGGGCCACTGGGCACTGTGCTTTTTCCCAGTTCTGGGGTGAGGAGAGGCCAGAGTTTGGGGGGAGACTCCATGAGAACGTGTTTATCCTGCGGTCTGCATTCACTCCTACCACCCCCAAACATTGATTACAGATGGAAGAGTGCAAGGGGTCAGCAAACAGCCTGCTGGGAGAGCTGTATCTGACCAGTGCTCTAGCTCTGAACATGCTAGTTCAGAGTGCATTGTTGCCTGGTGCCCTCAGGATCAGAGTCCTGCTCAGTGGTCTCCTCCCAGTTCCACCACCCCAGACTCTTCCCTCCAGCTGCAACCAACTTCTTCCAGTTCTCCTGGCTTTTACGGGGCTTTCTTCTAGCTGTGTCCTCAGCTTCAAACCCTCCTATCTAACTCCTACCCATCCTTTCGCTTTCAGCTTAAGCTCCAGGAAGTACGGGCAACCCCCACAGTAAACAAAGCCAAACGTTTTCTTTATCTGGAGCCTTTGCTATGCTAATGGGCATTGTGAATCTTCCGGAGTGTTGAGGGGCACCAATCTTTTCCAGCATTTGGCCACAAAAGGCCTCTACCTACCTCTATATCTATTAACCCTTTCTCAGAACTGGGTGAGGAGTTTGGGAAATGCTTTGAGAGAAGCGAAGCTGGTAGGGGCAAGGGTTTATTTCTTAGGTCCTGCTTTTTAGGTAGCGGCCTAGAAACCCCTATTTACCCTCAGGACTGGTAGGGGGAAGAGTCCCTCTCCTGTTGCCTGACTTCTGTCTTCCTGTAACCCATCAATGGACTTACTCCTGGAGGGAGAAACCAGAGTAACTGGCCCAATCTCTTTCTTGTCACAGTGGCAGGATCAGATCCAAGTTTTAGGGCTTTCTTTAAGAAAACCAGTGCAAAGGTATGAATTATAATTTCTAGGGCCTTGGAAGGGACCTGTGAAAGTAAAGGACCCTTGATGGTAAGCTTTTTTTAGCATTGAGGTAGAATCCACACCTGTACGGAGGCTTAATTATGGGTTTATGTGTAGCTCAGACATGGCCATATGTTAAGTGTGGGTCAAGTACGTGGTCTATGGATGGCTCTTCTTTGGTGCTTTGGTATAGCTCTGCCAGGCCACGGTCCTCTTGCTTCTTGGTCCACAGCCAGCCTGCAGTTTGTTCTCCTGGACCAGGCTTCACACAGGCAAGTGCATCCTTCGAGGCCTGCAGACTGGTGAGGGCAGTACCATATTGGTTGAGCAGATCTGTTTGCCCCCCAGATCCACCTGCTTTCTGTGGATCCCATGAGGCTGATCCTCTTGGACTGGATCACTTGGGTGGCCTTGGCCACTGATTTCTAGTTGAGTTTGGCCAATGAGACATGCACCAACAGGCAGTCTGGCTGGCAGTTGTCAAGAGGCGAGGTATGGATTTCCCTGTCTGGGCTGCATTTTGGAGGGGGCTACATCCTTGTGCTCACAGCAGCCCTCACCTACAGCTCTCTTCTATTCTTCCAACAGCACCTACCCCTTGCCCCTTCAGTCCAGGGCCTGGTAGC